TTGCAGTGAATTACTAAACCCAAAGACAGGAGGAAGAGTACCAGGGGGGTAGGGACAGTGCGGGGGCCAGGGGTAGTTGATGTTAGGGATGATGCAGTGGTGACACAGCAGTTTGGAAAAGTCGGCCATTTGGGACATCTTTAACTTCCGCCTCATAAGAACCAGTTTTGTGCTGATCTTTATTAAAGAAATTGTTCATTTAGCTTCTTAAGCAAATCTATTGTTGTTGTTGTTGTTATGTGCTGTTGAGTCGGACCCAACTCATAGCGACCCCTCCTTGGGTTTCTGAGGCAGTATCACTACGGAAGTAGATTCCCCAACCTTCCTTCTGAGAAGTGGCTGGTGGGTTTGAACTGCCAGCCTTCTGGTTAGCAGTCATGTGCCTTAGGCACTAAGCAAATCTATAGAAACCAAAAATTATTGTTGGTTACCAAGGGTGAGAGGGAGAGGGAAAGGAGGAGTCTTTACTTGGGGGGTACTGAGTTTACATTAATAGTGATGAAGTAATTTGGAAAAGGATAGAGAGACTGTTTAGACAACTTGAAGAATATTGTCAATGTCTGTAAAAATGGTATGGTGGGGGCATCTGATCTCCTCTGACTTCACAAGGGGGAAGGAATATTAAGATCAACAGCATCAGCCCAAGGCTGATTACTATAAGGCAGAGGTCAGACATGCTTCCTCTTCCCAACCGTTTTACCAATTCTGACACCAGCGTCCCTCCCACAGCACTGTCTACTTCTCTGCTAGGTTTGATAATTTATTGTAATGGCCACACAGAATTCACAGGTTGGGCAATCTACTTCTGTAGTGATACTGCCTCGGAAACCCAAGGAGGGATTGCTATGAGTCAGGTCTGACTCGAGGGCACATAAAAACAACACTCATGATTATGGGGTTTATTAGGGAAGTAACAGGTTATTATTCAGGATTAGAAAAGACTCACTATACACTTCTTCAGTCAGGACAACTTCTTTTCAGCTATGCCTACAAATGAACCTCTTTCTGGCCCTAGGGCTCTCATGAAATTAGACCAAACGTGGGTCCCTGCCTGGTACCCAGTCAGGTCAAAACAGTCTACATACAGAGTGATTAAGAGGACAGAAAATTATTTACTGCAAAGCAGCAATGCAAGGAGACAGGGGTCCATACCCAAATCTGACTCCCCAAATGGTTGTCGGGTTAGAGTTTTTATAAGTTCCAGGAGAGGGGGTTATACATATTCATAAAAACTTCAGGAATTTGAGTGTGAATTAGTTGAGGATTAGCTGAAATATCCTTTGCCTCAGTTTAAAAGGACAGTCGATTTTTAATGCTGTGCACTTGTGTACCAGATGAGTCACATGGGCTTCCTGTCATCAGCTGATGGGGACTTGGGCAGAGGGGAGAATGTCAGTTCCCAGCAACTTTGTTCCTGTTTGTCTCACTGTGCATGTCCACAGGCCAAGGTCAATTTTCAAGTTGTCTCCTGTAACACATTAACATACTTAACACCTGTTTCTAGGGGATAACATGGAGAGAATGTGTAAATTGACCTTTCATTCCATTCAGTTCATAAGGAACTGAGTTATCATGTTTACTTATCTGCCTCCAAACAGAGGTCCTATCTGTCTTTACCAGGATGGGGTTAATAGTTGAGCTTTCATTCTATTCAGTTCTTAAGAAACTGAGTTACCTATTTACTTATCTGCCTTCAACCAGGAATGCAAGCTGAACTTTGACTCCACCTGGCTTCAATCCCCCCTTAAGTGCTTACTGATCCACATTTTTGGGGAATGGGGTGATGACTCATTCTAGCTACTTCCTGCTGACTGGGGACAAAGATGGTGGAACTCAGAAATCTTTGGTTAGTAAGTCTCTTGTAGTTTAGACAGCTCTCGAAATTTTCTGACCATAGTCCAGGGAGAAGAGGCTAGGGGTGCCTGTAGAGCAGCCTGTAATTGTGGGGGCATGAAGACAGATAAGTAGGTAGGTAGATATTGAATGCAACAAGTAAAGAGTGTTAATAACAATATGAGGTGTGTTATAATAAATAAGGATCTCAGCCACCCTAAATTGGGTAGCCAAGAGGTGAGCCAAGACAGGTCTACCTCAAAGGTGGGGTTAAATGATGTACAGTTTCTCTGTCTAGTTGCAATTTACGAATGGTACGATGAATAACCTGCTGATCTTGTTCTGTCTGTCCTGATGCATTATCTAATGAGCAACAGGTGGCATTGATGTATATATTATGTGTTACCAAGTCTAGGGCTGCCCCATTTTGAAGTACAACAGTCTGGAGAGAGGTTATTTTAGTTTGGAGTGCAGAAGTTCTATCAGAAGTAGAGTTACCTACTGACTCTAACTGAAACAGAAACATTCTGAACGAACTAGCATGAAAGACGGAGGTCGTCACAATTCCGCCCCCCCAGGCCCACAATGTTGTTGTTGTTGTTATGTGCCCAACCTTCCTTCCGAGGAGTGGCTGGTGGGTTTGAACCGCCAGCCATCTGGTTAGCAGGCAAATGTCTTAGCCACTATGCTACCAGAGCTCCCCAGGCCCACAATAGGAATTAAAATTTGTTAGGCCTGTCTTCACGAGGGTGGGGCTAATAGTTGAGCTTTCATTCTATTTAGTTCTTAAGGAACTGAGTTATCATATTTACTTATCTGCCTTCAACCTGGGATGCAGGCAATGCAGTCTGAACTTTGACTCCACCCCTGTTTCACTCACACCTCTTGGGCCAGCCCTGTTGTTGTTGTTGTTATGTGCCATCGAGTCAGACCTGACTCACAGCGACCTCTCTTTGGGTTTCCGAAGCAGTATCACTATGGAAGTAGGATTGCCCAACCTTCCTTCCGAGGAGTGGCTAGTGGGTTTGAACCGCCAGCCGTCTGGTTAATAGTCAAGTGCCTTAGCCACTATGCTACCAGAGCTATCTCTGCCCTATTTTGGCAAGTGTTACAAAGATCTTTAGCTCCACTGGTAAGTGCCCAGAGGCACCTCACGCCTCCAATAAGCCTTGGCCTGAAGGCACGGTTTTTTCACTCTGTGGGCTGGGTAGCCCACTGCCATCTCCTGCTGGTCTCCTGGTTCTGCTGCCTCTGCTGTTGTTTCTCTGCCACTGCTTCTCATTGTGTCTGGTGTCCCAGCTCTGTCTCCTGGGTCTAGAAGGTTCTAGTGCAGGGACCCTGGGTCCAAAAGACACACTCTGCTCCATCTCTTCTTCTTGGTGATAGCCAGGTCCCCCTCTCTGCTCACTTCGCTCTCCTTTTATCTATTGTAAGACAAAAGCTGTGATTCAAGCAAGGGTAGTGACTGGGGAAAGAACGGTGACTTGTCTTCACCATCTAGTAGGATGATGACTCAAGATACATCCCACCTAATCCTGCCTCATTAACATAGTGACAACTCACTCCCAAATGGCACCATAACCACAAGCATAGAGGCTAGAATTCATTTAAAAAAAATAAAAAACCTGTTTATTTTGTTGTTGTTGTTGGTAGTTTTTTTGTTTTCAATCTGAAGGAGCTCTGGTAGTATAGTGGCTATGGTATTTGGCTACTAGCCAAAAGGTTGGTGGTTTGGACCCACCAGCCGCTTCACATTAGAAAGCTGGGGCAATCTGCTTCTATAAAGATTTGCAGTCTTGGAAACCCAATGTGGGTCTCTGTGAGTCTAAGGCGACTGGATGGCAGTGGGTTTGGTTTTAGTATTGTTTAGTTTTAGTATTCTTTAGCACTTGACTGCTAACCAGAAGCCTGGTGGTTCAAACCCACCAGCCACTCCTCGGAAGGAAGATGGGGCAATCTACTTCCGTAGTGATACTGCCTCGGAAACCCAAGGAGGGGTCACTATGAATAGGGTCCAACTCGATGGCACATAACAACAACAACATTGTTTAGTTTTAGATTTCAAGTTTAAGTTCAAGGTTTCAGATTTTGGTTTAAGTTTTAAAGATTATCTCAGGACTAGAGTTTCAGGGGTAGCTCTGGTGGCATAGTGCCTAAGGCATCTGACTGTTAGCATAGTGGCTAAGGCATCAGACTGCTAACCAGAAGGCTGGTGGTTCAAACCCACCAGCCACTCCTCAGAAGGAAGGTTGGGCAATCTACTTCCGTAATGATACCGCCTTGGAAACCCCAGGAGGGGTCGCTATGAGTCGGGTCGCACTCGATGGCACATAACAGCAACAGGAGTTTCAGGGGTTCATCCAGCCCCCAAAACAAACAGAAAAAAAAACAAACTCACTGTCGTGGAGTCAGATCCAACTCATAGTGACCCCAGTGAGTCAGATCCAACTCATAGTGACCCCAGTGAGTCAGATCCAACTCATAGTGACCCCTCCTTGGGTTACCGCGGGGTATTACTAAAGAAGTAGATAGCCCAATCTGCCTTCCGAGGAGTAGCTGGTGGGTTTGTACCGCCAACCTGGTTAGCAGTCAAATGCCTCTAGCACTAAGCCACCAGAGCTCCCAGAAAGTCTATGAGAATAAAATAAGTTACGGTGTTACACCCTTCCTCTCCTCTTCTCCGCTCTCCCGCCTATACTCACGCCTTCGGAGAACACGCAGGGACGCAGCCTCTTCATCTCTGAGTGTTGCCTCATTTCAGCCTTCTCCTTTCTCTGGGCACAGAGCCTTCCGTCCCAGGGGCGCATTCTCATCTCAGGGGCGCAGCCTATTCCCCTTCTCCCCTTCCTGAGGACACCTCATCCAGGGCACAGGATTTCCTCCCCATGGACGCAAGTTCCCCTCTCCCAGGCGCAGCCTTCCCTCCTGGGAGCGCAGCCTTTGTCTCCCTGGCCTCACAATAAGCACACAGTTTCTCCCTTGGGCGAAAAGCATCCAGCACAGACGCGGCTTCCCCAGAGCAGAGGGCGGCTGCTCCAGGTGCAGTCTCCTCCCGGGGCTCAATTTCTCCTTGCTAGGGCGCAGCCTCCCAGCGCGCAGCCATTCCTGCAGACACCACGCTTTCAGAGAGGACGAGCTGACGTCCCGGGTGCATCCTCCTCTCGCAGGTGCCGCAGCCACCGAGCCCCGGAACCTGGACTCGGCCCGCCGCCCTGGCGGCAGCAGAGGACTCCGAGCTCCCGAGCTCCCGCGGAACCTCATTACCACCTGCAGCCACTTGCACCGTCTGCCCTTCCAAAACGCCCGCCACTGTCAGCGCCAGCTTCCTAGCTCAACCGGGTAATGCCCCGGGTGCCAGAGTTTTAGCCTTGTTTTAATATTATTAAGTGCTATGGAGTCTGTTGGGAGCTCTGCTAGCATAGTGCCTACGGCTACTTGACTGTTAACCAGAAGCCTGGTGGTTCAAACCCACCAGCCACTCCTCGAAAGGAAGATTGGGTTATCTACTTCCATAGTGATACTGCCTTGGAAACCCAAGGAGGGGTCGCTATGAGTCGGGTCCGACTCGGTGGCACATAACAACAACAACAACTTGGAGTCTGTTATGACTCATAGCGACCCTAAGTACAACAGAAGGAAACAATCAATACCCCATCCGGGACCATCCTCACAATCGTTGCTGTGTTTGAGCCCATTGTTGCAGCCACTGTGTCAATCCACCTCGTTGAGGGTCTTCCTCTTTTTCGTTGTCTTTCTGCTACACTAAGCATGAAGTCCTCTTCCAGGGACCGATTCCTCCTGACGACATGACCAAAGTCGCTCCTAAGGAACATTCTGGCTGCCCTTCTTCCAAGACAGATTTGTGCCTTCTTCTGGCAGTCCATAATGTATTAATAACCAACACCTTAATTCCAAGACACCAGTTCTTCGATTTTTCTTTTTCATTGTCCAGCTTTCTCATGCATATGAGGCAATTGAAAATACCCCTTGGGACTCCATTCAGCTTTCTCATGCTGATGGTTTCCCTCCTCCGGGATGATTGTTTTGTCTTTGTCCTGTCCAAGACTTAATAAAAACGTCTCTCTGGAAGCATAGTGCCTGAAGCACTTGACTGCTAACCAGAAGGCTGGCTGTTCAAACCTCAGAAGGAAGGGTGGGCAATCTATTTCTGTAGTGATAACGCCTCAGGGGTCGTCTCATGGCAAATAACAACAACTGAAAAAGAAAATAAAAGGCCACAGCTTGGGTCAGGCTAACCTTAGTCCTCAAAGGGACATCTTTCCTTCTGAACACTTCAAAAAGGTCTTGGAGCAGATTTGTCAATGCAATACGTCATTTGATTCCCTGACTGCTGCTTCCATGGGCATTGATTATGAGTACAAGTACAATGAAATCCTTGACAATTTCAATCCTTTCTCAGTTTATTGTGATGTTGCTTATTGGTCCAGTTGTTAGGATTCAGGCTTGTAGGTATATTGATACATGTAATCTGGGCTTATGAAAAATGTTTCTGTTGTTATAACTAACTACAGGGGTACTTTTATTTAAAAAATAATAATACATTTCTGCAGAAACACTGCACAAAAACTTCATTTTGGTGTCACTCCCTCTGACAGTGTTACTTAGTACAGTCCGTACCCCCTGCAACCTCCCCGCCACTGAACTGCAAAATAATGCATGTAAATTACACCTCTACTTTTAAAGTGGAGAAAGATAATAAGTACCACCATGAGCTTACGTTAGTGGTAGTTGCTCACCTTCAGAGCAAAGCATCTTCAATTCGTGAATCTGCTAAGAATGGTTTTCAGCCAAAATATGAGGCGAGTGCAGTCTTCTATAAGAAGAGCTATGCAGCACAAGACTACAAGTTTCTACTCTCATGATATTAGGCCATATAATTAAATAGCTTCCTTTCAGTGATGCTCTTCCTCCAGGAACCCAGAGCTCCTCAAGAGGAAATTGAGATTTTAAATCCATTGAATGGGAAAGTCACCTCACATAAAACTTGGTGACTGGGGCTACCACCATTGCAAACTTCTAAACTTTGCAAGATGGCAACAACATTTCAAATGGCCCTCTGAGCAAGAAGACAATGTGCTCAAGGGAATTTTTTCTCCAGATATACTAACTGCACAAGGTCTAAATTAGCAAGTTGCTCAGAGGTTTCTCCCAGTCTAGTTTAAATTCACAGATTATAGCTCCCAAACAGCTTGCATCATTTGACCAGTATCTTGTTGAAGCAAAAAAACAAGAGTCTTTCTCATACTATGTGGCCTTGAAGTTTATTTTCTTCCAGTTCTGGGAGGAATGAGATGTAACTTAAAGGTAACCATTTCTCTTTTGGGAGGAAGGTGGAGCAATAATTCTGTAGCAAATGAGATTTCAAGGTGAAGAGGCTGAACCAGAGGGTGCAGCATATAAAGTTCAACCCTGCCTTTGGGGGAGAGGAGAGCAGAACAAGAGTTGCTTCATCTGGCTTTTCACAATCTAACAGGTTAGAACTTTTTTCATTTTCTTTCCCTTCCAAGTGGTGTGGTGGGGAGATAGATTTTTGGGAAAGGGAGGGAAAAAAAAAAGAATGGAGAAAGCAAAACTGTAACAATATGACCTTTCCTTTTCATCTTCTCCAGAGTTACTCTATAATCAAATCTGCTCCTCAGTGTTTTTTTTTTTCCTGGTGAGTGTTTCTTGGTGCCCTGGTTTGGCCATGACTGGGTGGAGCTGCTTGGTGACAGGAGCAGGAGGGTTTCTGGGTCAGAGAATCATCAACTTGTTGGTGGAAGAGAAGGAGCTACAGGAGATCCGAGCCCTAGACAAGGTCATCAGACCAGAATTACAGGAGGAATTTGCTAGTAAGTGAACTCAAGCCATGGGTGTGTGGCTCCATCTTAAACCTTGTGTGGGTGTGGGGAAGAGGCTCTTGTCTAGAGAATTAAGGAAAAAAAAAAAAAAACCCACTGCCATCCAGTCAATTTTGACTCATAGTTCATTGTTTACCAATGCGATGAATATGGAAGTAGCTTGCCCCAAGGCCATCTTCCTTCTGTGGAGCAGCTGGTGGGTTTGAACCTCCAACTTTCTGGTTAGCAGTCAGATGCCCTAGGCACCATGCCACCAGAGCTCCTTATAGATTAAGGAAAGTTGTAGCCAAATCAAGGCTAATCCCATTCCCAAAGGTATACCAAACTGGAGTGGCTTGCTATAAAAGTCAGTGGACTGAGTGTTGGGAAACTGGGTTCTGGCCCTGATCCAGAACTAGAGGGTGTGTTTTGTGGCATAGTCACTTGGCTCGCTAGCCCTCTTTTGTTCTCATATAGAAAATCACACCTCAGCACTCTCCCTTGTTACAACTCTTTAATGCTCTGAAGATTTTTGAGTTAGCATTTGTTGTGCATTATCTGCAAGGGACAGGCAAGCACCTGAAGACTCCACGAGGGGGGTCCCTGCCCCTCCTGATTACCCTGGTCTTTGTGTTGTTCACTTAGCATCTCTAGTGGAAATGAATTAAAAGAAGGTGAAGGTGAAGCTGAGTGTACATTGTTGTTGTTGTTAGGTGCCATTGAGTCATCTCTCAGTTATAGAGACCCTATGGACAGCAGAAGGAAAACATTGTCTGGTCCTGTGCCAGCCTCACGACCCTTGCTATACCTGAACCCATCATTGCAGCCACTGTGTCAGTCCATCTCATTGAGGGCCTTCCCCTTCTTCTATGTGTGTAAAAGAGAAAGAGAGAGAGAGCGAGAACACGTGCAGTAGAGTGAGAGGCAGTGTGAGCCCAGGCACACCTCATCTGGATTTCTTGTACATCTTTTCTACTATTTGTCTCTGTTCCTCATCACCATAGAGAGTGACTTCAGAATTTACAGGAACAGCTCATTACTCTTTTCCCAAATTTTTGTCCCTGGTACAAATGCAAAAGCTGGATTTATAGCATATTTGCTAAACTGTTTCATCCTCAGATCCTCAAAATAGCCTTGTAGGGAGGGTAGGAAAGGGGTCACATCCACCTGGACAATGAGCAAACAGAGTCCAGAACAATGAAGCAACTTACCCAAGGCCATCTGGTTAGTATGTAGCAGGGCTCAGACTACAGCCTTGTCACAAAGGCCCTACCACTTTATTACAAGGATGGGGACCCCATGAGCATTCTGGTGGGCTCTTGTCTCCTGCCGAGAAAGAATTACTCAGAAACAGATAGATTTTAAAAGCAAGCCTTTGTTGAAACACTGTGCCACAGAGGTCAGCCAGGTGGGAGGCACACCAGCTGAGCTGAGCTCTTTGTTCTACACACAGCAGACACAAGAGGCAGAAGTTGTACATCTAGCAAATTAGTGACTTAGATCTCAAAGTCATCCTTTATTGGGAGGCAGGACCTGCACTTTGCTCAGAAAGATGTTTTCTTTTGAGTGTGAATGAAAGGAGGCTTTCACAAGGTGTTCTGTACCTATAGATGACAGCCCAATGTTTACAGAGCAAATAGGTTTTGCAGTTGCTATCAGCAAGGAATGTTAGTTTGTTTAGACTATCTCATGTATGTGCTCTGCCTTCTACTCTCAGTCCATGGGAAGAGAAGTGGCCTAAGATTTAATAATGCAGCAAAATAGGGGTTTAAGGAACCTTAATAGTAGTGTAGAACCTAAGGCACTTCACTGCTAACCAGAAGGCTGGGGGTTCAAATCTACCAGCGCTCCTCGGAAGGAAGGTTGGGCAATCTTCTTCCGTAGTGATACCGCCTTGGAAAACCAAGGAGGGGTCGCCATGAGTCAGGTCTGACTAGATGGCACATAACAACAAATAATATAAAAATTTGGTAGGGGTTATTTCACTCTTTGCATGTGTCCCGGTTAGCAGTCAAATGCCTTAGGCACTACCCCACCAGAGCTTACAAGGGTATAATATATACAGAATCAGACTGTCATATCTTTCTCCCACAGACTGTTAGTAGGTTAGAACTTTGGACTTGTTGGTTAGCAGCTGAGCAGTTAACAAATGCCACCAGCCACTCCTCAAAAGGAAGATTGGGCAATCTATTTCCATAGAGATATCGCTTCAGAAACCCAAGGTGGGGTCGCTATGAATCTGGACTCCAGGCAGTGAGTTTATTTGTTTGTTTGTTTTATTAGTTAACCACTGTGCCACCAGGGCTCCTGTAATAACCTGGTTTGTGTTCATACAGAGCTCAACCACAAGGTCAAGCTGACAGTGCTGAAAGGAGACATCCTGGATGAGCAGTGCCTGAAGAGAGCCTGCCAGGGCATCTCGGTTGTCATTCACACTGCCTGTGTCATTGACGTAACAGGGGCCGCTCAGAGAGAGACTATCATGAATGTCAATCTGAAAGGTATGGTATACCTGGGGAGGAGATGGAGTGAATCCAGAGGGTGAGGATTAGTAAACAGGATATGCAAGGGAAGAGAAACCCCTAGCATTGAACACCGTTTCTGTGTTCTGTGCCAGGTGCTTTTGTTTATCACTATCAACTGAGAAAGGTGCCGGGTGGCTCAATGGGTAAGCACCCAGCTGCTACCTGAAAGGTTGGCAGTTCCAGCTCACCAGCAGCTCCATAGGAGAAAAACCCTGGCCATCTGCTCCCATAAAGGTTACAGCCTAGGAAAATATATGAGAAATTCTATTCTGTCAGAATCAACTTGATGGCACACAACAATATCAACAGAGTTCAAAGCTGCTATCTTCATCTTAAGAAGCCCTGGGGACACAGTGATTAAAGTGCTCAGCTGCTGACTGAACCCATCAGCTGCTCCAGGCAGTCTGCTTCCATAAAGAAGCCTTGGAAACCCTATGGGCAGTTCTATTCTGTCCAATAGGGTCGCTATGAGTTGGAATTGACTTGACAGCCATCAATTTTTTTAGTGGGTATCCTCAGCTTTGGAGATAAGGAAACTAGGGTCAAAAAAACCTAAGGAACTAGAAGTTGAAGGTCTCACACGTAAAAAGTAGGAGAGCTAGAATTTAAACCTACGTCTGTGTGACTCCAAAGACCATGAAAGCTACGGCTGCCTCACGAGGAGCCAACTGAACTCTAACCTCAAACTCTAGCTTTCTAGCCACCACCCTTTTTCTCCTCTAGGCCAGAACCAGACCTTATGGGGACTTCCTTACTCACATGTTAGCCCTTCCATGTGACTCTGAGGGGGTGGTCACAGAGTAAGGCCAAGAGCTGAGAGCTCTGTGACACAAGGCAGCCCAGTCAGCCATGCCATGGGGCACCTCTTTTGGCTATTTAACTTCAGACTGAACCCTCTGTATAAGATTGGCAAGGGTAATGAGAACACCCAGATACCTCTCACCATCTCCAAGAAGGAGTCCTTTTAGGAGATCTAGCAAAATTGGTTCACAGAGGTCATCTAGCACAGCACCTGCCTTCCCACAATACTTTCTTAACAATAATAGTTTCCAATTATTCATAATACCATCTCTTTAACTTACCACTATAGCTACATTTAAAGAGTAGTTTCTAACTACATGTCCAAAGTATGACTGCATTAGATCTTTGTCCTTTAAATACTTAGTGGCTCTTTCTGAATTTTGGCTTTCCAATCTGCTTTAAATCTAGACACATTAGCTTAACGGACTTTGCTGCATAATATCATCCTGCTAGTCTCTGGAAAGGAGCTCTGGTGGCATAGTGCCTAAGGCATTTGACTGCTAACCAAAAGGCTATATAGTTCAAACTCACCAGCCACTTCTCACAAGGAAGATTGGGCAATCTACTTGCATAGAGATACTGCCTCGGAAACCCAAGGAGTGGTGGCTATGAGTCGAATCCACTTGATGGCAGTCAGTTTGGTTTTGGTTTAGTCTCTGAAATCCAGTCTCCCAGGCACCACAACACCTCTCCTCGCTCATCTGTTATCTCTGCGCTGTCCTTCAAAATTAGTCTAATCAGAGACTCCTTTTCTAAAGTGGCTAATTGTTTTGGGGTCTTGACCTAGTTATCTGGGGAAAAAAAAAAAACAAACTCACAGCCGTGGAGTCAGATCAGACTCATAGTGACCCCTCTTTGGGTTTCTGAGATGGTATCACTATGGAAGTAGATTGCCCAATCTTCCTCCTGAGGAGTGGCTGGTGGGTTTGAACCATCAGCCTTCTGGTTATCAGTCAAGTGCCTTAGGTGCCTCATTAAATGCTTCAATAAATATTTCATTTCCTCCTCTGCAAGTAAATTAACTCCAAATTTTCTCTGCCTCTAAATTTAAATTTTTCAGATAAAATAAGGCTCTCTCTCTGGAAAATCAAATTGCACAAGACCTTAAGAGTGACAGAAGGCATATGAAAAATAAGATTTTAAAAATAATCCTTTTCCCAGAAAGATTCCTTCCTTTCTCTACAGAGGGCTCTATGCAGCTGAAGGGCTTCTACAAGATGCACCCAATTCAGGTAGTACCTCTAGAGGGCGCACTCCACTTTCTAGATCTCAACTAAGCTCAGTATAGAGGAACCAGTGCTTGTTTCCAGAATGCTAAGTAAAAGGATGACCATCACCCCCACTTTTCATAAATGGATAAATGGAGTCACAGACAGAATTTGAGTGGACTTCTCAGAAAATACACTATCAGGAAGAGAGTTTGCATCTCCAGCATGTTCCCAGAATCCACAACCATTTGCTCAGTGACTCTCAAAGAATGGTCCTTGTGGCCAAGTTTTTATTGGTCTGCAACAAAATAAGAACAGCATAAGTAATTTAGTGTATATTTTAGAGTGTGTATTGCCTATATAAGGCGCTCTTGTGGTATAATGGTTAAGGCATTTGACTGCTAACCAAAAGGTTGGTGGTTCCAACCCACCAGTTGCTCTGTGGAAGAAAGATGAGGCAGTCTGCTTCCATAAAGGTTTACAGCCTTAGAAACCCAGTGGGGGTTGCTATGAGTTGGAATCAACTTGATGACAGTGAGTTTGGTTTTCAGTTTATTTCCTATTTTAACTATGTGTGTGTGTATGTGAGAGAGCATGTCCTTCACCTGCCTATTTTGGCTAAGTTCTAGGATTGTCCATATTCTGACATTACTGACTTATTTTTTACATTTAAAATGATCTGTCTTGAATGACATGATAGGGATTATATATAATAACTTTTAATGTCCTTACTTTGCAAAATGTAAGGTGCCAACATTGTCTTTAAAAAAAAAAAAAATTAAAATACACAAACAGAGATCTATGAAGTCCAAAAGCCTAGAAAGTTCTGCTCTCCGAAATTCAACTGTCAGTCTCTCTTCACTTTCACGTTTGTCCTTTACAGTCCCTTGGTAGCTCAAACATAAGTTCTTGACTAGTAGCCAAAAGATTGATGATTTGACCCACCTGAAGGGGCTTCAGAAGACAGGCCTAGTGAGTGATCTGCTTCCTAAAGGTTATAACCTTGAAAACCCTGTTGAAGCTGTTGTTGTTATGTGCCGTCGAGTTGGACCTGACTCATAGTGACCTCTCCTTGGGTTTCTGAAGTGGTGTCACTACAGAAGTAGATTGCCCGACCTTCCTTCCAAGGAGTGGCTGGTGGGTTTGAACCACCAGTCTTCAAGTCCCTTAAGCACCACGCTACCAGAGCTCCCTATGGAGCAGTTCTGTTCTGCACATGTGAGTCACTATGAGTCAGAATCAACTCAACAGCAACTAATAGTAACAATGTATTCTGGGCTAGGCCATGGAGACAAATAGCTAAAAGTACATTTGTCCTATGGTTGTAGCATGACCAGATCTCAGCCAAGGTCATGGAAGAATACCCTCCTGATCTGTAACAACCAGCTCACCTGGAAGCAGCCAGTAGACAGGATCTGTAGGGGCTATTTCCTGACACTGACAGTGTGCTCCCTGCTGGCAGGAACGCAGCTCTTGTTGGAGACCTGTGTCCAAGCTAATGTGCCGATCTTCATCTACACCAGCACCATAGAGGTGGCTGGGCCCAACTCCTACCATGAGATTATCCAGAATGCCCATGAAGATGAAAATCACGAATCTAAATGGTTCGCTCCATACCCATACAGCAAAAAGCTTGCTGAAAAGGATGTGCTGGCAGCTGATGGCTGGACACTTAAAAATGGTGGCACCTTGTACACTTGTGCATTAAGGCCCATGTACATCTATGGGGAAGGAAACCCATTCATTTGTAAACAAATAAACAAGGCCCTGCAGAACAATGGCATCCTGGAGGATTTCGCTAGGTACTCCGTGGTCAACCCAGTCTATGTTGGCAACGTGGCCTGGGCTCACATTCTGGCCTTGAAAGCCTTGCGAGATCCCACAAAAGCCCCAAGTGTCCGAGGACAGTTCTACTACATCTCAGATGACACACCTCATGGAAGCTATAGTAACTTAAATTACATCCTGGGCAAAGAATGGGGTCTCCAGATTGATTCCAGAATGGTCCTCCCTGTGTTTCTGCAGTACTGGATTGCCTTCCTGCTGGAAACAGTGAGCTTCCTGTTGAGCCCAATTTACAAATACCAACCCCCCTTCACCCGCCACTTGGTGACATTGTCAAATAGTGTATTCACCTTCTCCTACAAGAAAGCCCAGAAAGATCTGGGATATGAGCCACTCTTCAGCTGGGAGGAATCTAAGCAGAAAACCACCCAGTGGATTGGCTCTCTGGTGAAACAACACAAGGAGGCCCTGAAGACAAAGACTCACTGATTTGAGGATGGCAGTGATGTGAACCTGGGTGCTGTTAGGTCCTATCTGTCAAGTTCTCCCCTCCTGGCTTCATGAAGAAAGTAACACAGGCACAAATGCAAGTCCTACTTCTTCCCTTTTACAAGATGACCGACTACTGGTCTTCCAGATGCCACCACAAACCTTCTCAAACACTGCTTCCAACTAAAACACTTCCCCCCACTTCCTGAGCCCACCACCAGAAGGCAGACAAGGTGATCTGCTACCGTTACTAAAGTCTCATGCTATTTGGGACATCTTTTAGATTAGAGCTTTGCCGATTAGTTGCCTTTTCTCTCCTAAAGCATTTTTTTTTCTCTTCAAAATTCCTTATTCATTTATCCAGTTCAATGCAAAGAATAATAAATGTTTTAATGCCTAATCTACAGCTAGTTGTGGTTAGTAATATACATTCTTCCTCTCCCCTCCATTATTAGTTATCACCATCAATATCACCATGCTTCAACCACAGCATGGAACTCAGTGGAAAGACATGGTGGTGGGGTTGGAAAATGGGGAACTAAAATTTACTAAGCATCTACTATGCTTCAGGTGTGTACTAGATGGTTGACATATATTACCTCATTTAATCCACAACACAACCCTGTGAAGTAGGAATTACTATTCCCATTTAATTAATGAGTAACCTTGTCTATGGTCATACTAACTAGTAAGTGGCCAAACCAGTTAACTCAAGTAGACAAATTTGAGAGCCTATGTCTTTCCACTGACTCACACATCCTGAACTGTCCCAAATGTATAGCAAAGTGTGTGTGTGTGTGTGTGTGTGTTTTGGGGGTGTGGGTGGGGTTGTGTGTACTACAGCAGAGCACTGGGGCATGGGGATACTTGGGAGAGCCCAGCTCCCTTGGGTTATCTACTTCTTACCCAGTCCTCTGCTGCAGGAGACTCCATAGCATTCAGGGGAATCTGGGAATGTTTGGTTGCTCTAACCAGTGGCCCTGGGAAGGGGAGAGAAGCAAGGATGCACCCAGCCTCCACCCCCAATACTAATTTCCTTGAAGGTCTCTAGAACACACCTGGATATATATGTGTTGGCCATTCTGGTATTTCATAGCTCCATATGTCAACCTTTCAAATCACCCAATGGAACCATACTATGGGTGGCTCCTGGGAAAGTAAAAGGAACAAGTATGAATTCTCCTTGAAAGTTGACCTCCTGCTCAAGCCCAAAGAGTAGAGGTCTAATATACCACATCTGCAGATTTAACTCCCTCTCCCTTCTTCCTCCTTCTCCCAAATCCTCTCTTGATTTTTTATCCTTCTACCTCCTTACCACCCCCACCTTTCCTTTCCCTCCATCTTTCCCTTCTCACTGGCCCTTTCATCCTTCTCAATTTCCTTAAAGGAGTTAGATTGAGAGAAGCTTAGGGGTTGAAGTGATGGCATACTCATTAACTCAATGGAGGACCAACAATCAAAAGAAATATTGTCAGGGTCAATAGGACTGGTGAACTGAAGTCCTGAGGAAGTTGCTGTGGGAGGCAAGGAATGGGGAGGCAAAAGCTGCCTCCATCTAGACTCGGGTACTGCCTGTCATCATGTACTCACAACCACAAGAGTCATATCCAACATCAAAATGGCCTCTTTCTTTCCTTTTTTTGCTTTAATAAACAGAAGTTTATTTTCTCATGGTTTAGGAAGCTAGAAGTCTGAATTGAGGGTGCCATTTTTAAGAGAAGACTTTCTCTCTATTGGCTCTGAAGGAAGGTCATTGTCTCTCCAGCCTCTGCTTCATGGTTCCTTGTAGATCTCCAAGTGCCCTGTTATCAATCTTCCCCTGGGTCTAGGAGATTCTCAGCACAGGGTGTCCGGGTCCAAAGGACACACTGTGCTCCCGGCTTTTCTTTCTTGGTAGTAATGAGGTCCCTCCCCTCTCTGCTTACTTCTCTCTCTTTTCATCTCTTGACAGATCAAAAGTGTGACTCAAGCAAAGGCATGACTTGAGTAAGGATGTTACTTGAGTCACATGCTCTTCACAAAATGGGGATAATTACATAATACAACCATAATATTAGGAATCATGGCCTAGCCAAGTTGACACATATTTTGGGGATACAATTCAATCCATGACAGAACAGTAGGCCAATAAACTAGCCCACCATTTCCCCTCTTTGTATAATCTTTTTTTTTGCACTTAAGATTTCTTCACTGTTGAACAATTTTTCTTTTATTATTATTATTATTTTAATTTTATTGTGATTTGGGTGAAAGTTTACAGAGCAAATTCATCTTCCATACATCTTCTATACATATACTTTGTCTCATGACATTGACTGTAATCTCCCATAATGCAACAGCTCTCCTCCCACTTCCTCCCATAGCCATCTCTTCCCTGTGTCCTTCCCTCCCATGCACTCCTACCCCCTGAGCTGTCTCTCTGTGCACAGCTGTACACAGGCATTCTTTTCTCCTGTGATTGTTCTCTCCAAGGAGTGTATCTACCTCAGGTAAATGTTCAACTCATATGCCTGTCTTTTGTTTGGCTGGAAGCCACAGGAGTGGATTCAATTCCAGGCCTGAAGGGCAGGTAGGGGCCATAGTCTCAGTGGTTCCACAAGGCTCTATCAGACCAGCAAACCTGGTCCCTTTTTTTTTTTTTTAAATGATTTTAAATTTTGTTCCACATTGTTCTCCCACTCTATCCAGAATCTGCTATATAGACAACCCCCCTCCAAGTGGTTGACAGTGGTAGCCTTGCACCATCTAGTTCTTCTGGTCTCAAAGTCATATAGGCTGATGATCACATGGTATACCAGTCACTTGGATTAATTGTTTCCATGCATCTTTGGTTTTCTTCATTCTTCTTTGCTCTGGACAAGGAGAGACCCATAATTGCATCTAGATGGCCACTTATAAGCTTTTAAGATCCCAGTCACTACTCACCCAAGTAGCATGTGAAACAATGTTTTTGTGTTGTATGTTATGCCATTGAGCTTGATGTCCCCTGCGACCATGGTCCCAAGCCCACAGGAACAACTAGCTGGCTGTGGCCAAGAAGTGACTACAACCTTGTCCCTTGTCAGATCTACTATATACCTGGGAATTCTTACAGAACATACAAATATACTTGTAGAAACGTTGTCTGCCAACCCTATACATGCCAATTCCCCCCTCCACAGACATACCCAATCATTCAGCCTGTCCACCCATCCATCCACCTGTACATCACTGTTTGCCACCACTGACAATGTAGTTGTTGTTGTTATGTGCCATCGAGTCAGCGGACAACGCAGCACTGTAGGTACAAAAGGGTTCCTCTTTGTTGTCTGTACCTTCCATGCCCCTCTCTATGTCTTCCTCTTCCTCAGTGCCACTGTGTTGATCACTCACATTTGGTACATTAAAATGGTCTCTTTCTTACCCAGGGAATTTACAGATCATGAATTCAGTTGCATTTGATTACCACAAAGAAGACAGTTTAAACACTCACTCAGAAGAAGGAAGGGAAATCAACATTGTGAGGGGGAAAAAAACACTTCTGGCCCAGGTGGGCAGGTTTCCGTCACCTCCACAAGCCTGTTCTGGTTACTTAGTGCGGTTCTGACAAGAATATATACCACAAATGGGATGGCCTTAACAAACAGGAGTTTAGTCTTACAATTTGGAGGCTTTAAGTCCAAGTTCAAAGTGCCAGGCTCTAGGGGCTGGGTGAAAGCCCCTCAACGTTGTGGTCCAGCTTTGCCTCCTGCTCCCGGCCCACTGGAGCTAGAGGCATTTCTTCACTCAGACAGCTGCTGGCTGCTGAGGCTGAGAAGCCCCAAGGTTGACAAGTCAAAAGGCACAGTCCCGATGTTACCAAACCATACGGCAGGCCATTAAGTCCATTGTAAGTCTCAAGGTCGGCAGAGCATAGCAGGCTGCTCAACAAAGACACGGCTACATGCAGGGTCCAAGTGTGCCATAGGCTAGAGACCTTTCTCAAAGCTTCTCCTTATATACAGGAAGCAGGGCACATACCCAATGGCAGCTACTCAGCTGCTCACAGTAGATTGCACTATGGAGTTGATTACCAGTCTCATCACGGGGAATACTACATCCAGCTGTCCAGCCACTCAACCAGGCCCAGCCAAGTTGACACACAAATATAACCACCACAAAGCCCAAAGGGCAGATTGAGATCAGCACTGGGCATCAGGGTGGAGTGGCCCCAGGCAGTGGGATAAGTTGAGAAGAGAAATGCTCCATTCTGGTGGCCCTTCCTCCACTGGCTGCACAAAACACAAGCCCATGTCTATCCAACTCCCATAAGGAGCACACACTTTCAGATGTTTACTCTAGCAGAGATGGAAGGAAACGATGGTGGTGTAGTCTGGGATAAGAACACTTCATCAACGTTTCCAGCCTGGTAAAGTCCCACAGCTATCAACTCACCAAGGCAGTTTGGGAAGGGGGAATGTGGAAAGGGAAAGGGCCAGGCAGAATAACCATAAAGGCCTCAGAAAGTTTTGTCCAGCGAAGCCCACCTCTATCCTGCCCTGACATTATGAGGGAGGCAGTCGCAGCATATAAGCAAGCCTGGGTGGACTGCAAGGGGTACAATGCACAAGATGCACTGGACAGGAGCAGTAGAGATGCACAGGGAAGAGGAAAGTCCTTCCCAGCTTAGCCTTTCCCTTCTCTTCCTCCACCTGAATACTGCCTCTACTCCCAGGTTGTCTTTGGCCCTGGGGTACATCCAGGAAGTCTAGAGCAGTCAGTTCCTCAGGGAAGAGAAAATTGGTCCCAATCTCAAAACTGCCCTGACCTTCCTCGCAGACTGCAGCTCTTCCTTAAATATAATATGAGTCGAAAGGGGAGGGATTGTAAGATTGGAATCTGTTATTGTTGTTGGTCTGTTTTTTAGTAACAGTAATTAAGAATTTTGTAGATGAAGGAAAAAACAGGATTTTTACTATAGCTTGGTCTACGGGCATTCTTGTCTACTTCACCCTCATCCCAGCCCTTCTGGGCCCTCTGCC